ATGATTAATATAATTATTAGCTTTTTCTTTGCTCTAACATATAAAATTTCTTAACCCATAATGCTTTTTGGTGAAGGGGGTTAAAGTCACTCTCTCTCTGTCTGTAACTGAGAGGACGGCAGGTCGGTATTAGAAACATCTGCCATATATATCTGTCATATTTCCAACTTCATCCTTTTGAGATGGAGAGAAAGAGAGTAAAAGACAGAAAGGCAGAGAGAGAGAGGGTGAGAGATAGCGAGAAAGAGAGAAAATGGACAAAGACAGAAAGACAGCGAGACTAAAAGACAGAGAGATAGAAAAAGAGAGAGGAGAGAGAGAGAGAGAGAGAGAGAGAGAGAGAGAGAGAGAGAGAGGGCAGAGACAGAAAGAGAGACCAAGAGAATATGAGGAGAGAGGGAGTAAAAAACAAATATATAAATAAATAAATACATAAATAAATAGAAGGGGGTGCCGATCCCCCACCTCGAGGATCCAGCAGATTCGGCCTCCCCGCGCGCTAATTGACCGACAGTGTTCACACACACATTCACACACACACACACACACACACACACACACACACACACACACACGTCCGCACTAATTTGCTATTTACTATTCCGCGAGTAAGCCGTAGCGCCGCCCCCCTCCTCACTCGCCACCGGAGCCATCCACCAGTTATAAATAAATAAATAAATAAATAAATAAATAAATAAATAAAAAATAAATTAGCGGCTTTGTTTGATAATGAGGGCGCGAGGATTCACACTCGTTCCCCTCCTAGCCTGCTCGCGCGCTGCACGAAAGGAAACGGAAGCTCACGAGCCCTTGTTAGAGTTTACAGATCAGCAGCCGGGCCTTCACATCAGGAGGGCTAAACAATGTAAACGAACAAACAAACAAATAAACAAATAAACAAATAAATGATCAGATTAGCTCTCTAAAAATCCATACATTAACGAATTAATGAATTAATGAGTGATCGATTAAGCAAGCAACCCAATATGCAAATAAGGCAAGAGATAACCAACCAATCAAACTGGAGAGCTTGAGCGCGAGCTCTTTTTCGGGCGCCGGCGGTTCTTCAGCCTCCTGAGCTGCTGTTTCATTATCAGATATTTAATTGAATATTAGCAGAAAGGGTCTTTGTTAACGCCAGACATCACACACACACACACACACACACACACACACACACACACACACACACACACACCGCGCTATCCCGCTCCGCTATAATCAGCGCCATTAGGGCTGCATTACGGCGCGCGCGCTCGGCCAGCGCGTCCCATGTAGCTTCTGTGTTTTATTTTTCCAGCGCGCGCTAATCAGCCGCTCTCATTACGGACGCTGATTAAAGCGCTAATTAGAGGCAGCAGCGGCCCCGCGCGACGCGCGCGCTCAATATCAATTAAGGGCCAAGCGGCTTGCGCGGGCGCTCACACACACGCGCCTCTGCCTGCTTGATAGTGCCACTTATTGGTTTGGAAAAGTAGGAAAATACCAATAATCAACAGTCGTGTAGGGAAGAGTGGGAGAGGGGGAGGGAAACAGAACGAAAGAAAAAAAGAAATAGTGGCTAAGAAAAAGAGAGAGAAACAGTATATTGAGACAGAATGAAAGAAAGAGAAAAAGAAAAAATAAAGAGAAAGAGAGAACAACAAAAGAGAGATATAATGAAAATATAGAGAGAGATAGGAAGAAAGAAAGAAAGAAAAGAAAGAAAGAAAGAAAGATTTAGTGAAAAAATACAGAGAGAAAAAAGAAAAAGAGAGAAAAATAGAGAGAGAAGAAATAGAGAAAAACATACTGTGAGAAAATGAAAGAAAAAGGGAGAAAGAGAGATAAAAAAAGACAGAGAGACACAGAGAGAGAGAAGGAAGGAAGAATGAAAAGAAGGAAAAGAGATTTGGAGACAAAAGGAGACACACTGAGAATTATAGAAAGAGAGAGAGAGAGAGATACACGAAGAAAGAAAGAAAGAAAGAAAGAAAGAAAGAAAGAAAGAAAGAAATGCAAAGAGTGAAAAGAGGGAGATACATTGAAAAAGAATCACGAAAAAAGAGAGAAAGACAGAGATGGGGAGAGGAGAGGTGGAGTGAAAAAGAGCAAGTAGAGAGAAACAGAGTGAAAGAAAAACAGAACGATAGAGGTTCAGAAAAGGACAGAAAAAAATAGACATATTGAGAGAAAATGAGAGAAAAAAGAAAAAGAAATAGGGAGAAAAAGAGACAACGACGAAAGAAAAGAAAGAAAAAAAAGAAAGAAAAGAAGGAAAAAAGAGGGAAAGAAAGATTCAGAAATATAAAGAAAGAGAAATGTGAGAGAAAAAAGAGATACACTGGGAAGGAAAGAAAGAAAGAAAGAAAGAAGAGGGAAAGATTTAGAGAAAGAAATATAGACAGAAAAGCAGAGAGAGAGAGCAATTGAGAGAGAATTAAAGAGACAAAGGAAAGGAGAGAGAGAAATAAAGATTAAGAAAGAGATATAAGAGAGGGGGATTAAGACAGAAAGAAAGAAAGAAAGAAAGAAAGAAAGAAAGAAAGAAAGAAAGAGAAAAAAGAGATACATTGAGAATGAATTACAGAAAGAGAGAGAGAGAAATAGAGAGACAAAGAGATGGGGAGAGGAGAGGTGGAGTGAAAGAGAGCAAATCAAAGGGAAAGAGAAACAGAGTACAAGAAAAAATAAATAGAGGTTGAGGAAAAGAGAGAAACAGAGAAAAATAGAGAAAAACACTGAGAGAAAATGGAAGAAAGAAAAAAGTAATACAGAGAAAGAGAGATAAAGAAAAGAGAGAGACGAAGAGGAGAGGAAGGAAGGAAGAAAAGACAAAAAAAAGAGAAAGAAAAAGATTTAGATACAAATATAAAGAGAGAAGTTCAGAGAGAGATACAGAGAGAAGATTAAAGGGAGACTAAAAAAGGAGAGAAATAAAAGAGACAAAAAAGATAGATAGAGAAAGAATTAGAGAGAGAGAGATTAAGATGGAGAAAAGAAAGAGATTTAGAGAGAATAGAAACTAAAAGATAAACGAATGAAATCCCGTTTCTGACTCTTTTCTTTCAAAACTAATTTTTGTTCACCTTTTATACAGTTGTGGGGGCTGTACTGACCCCCGCCCCCCCCCCTTCTGAGGGGGGGTAAAGTGTATTAGACAGGCTAATATCTCCGGCTTTTTCAACTCACTTTTGGCTATAATGAATCGCATTAAGGCGTGACAGCTCTGAAATCCTACATCATTAGGTCGTTCCGGTAGCAGTGAGAATGAATAAGTATTCTCTCTCTCTCTCTCTCTCTCTCTAACCTCTTTAGCCTCGCCCAAACAGGAGTTAATGGCGACTGATTTTATTTATTTATTTCATTAGAGAAAAATCATCTCTTCTTTCTTCTCCTCCTCCTTCTCTTGTAAACGTGTCCGAGCGATAAAAGCAAACATGAAATAGGGAATGTAAGGAAGCCTAATGGCCTGTTAATCCGGGAATGAATAGCGTGTTAAGGAGAATTAAGGTAAATAATTCATTTTTCAGTAAAGAGCATCGGCCTTACATTTGGCTCCACGTGAGGCCAGAAAACATGCAGCACACTTTGCACACTCACTGGGCTGCTTGCAGAACATGCACATCAATAACACGTGCTAAATGCAGCAAGTAAGGCTTAGCATATAGCATATATGCCACATGCACTCTGACAGAGCTTCCAAAAGAATCGGTGCTGTAAATAAAGACTAAAACAAATCTGGATTTAATCTGCGTAGTTTAGACCTTTGGTTTATACTGTACAACAGCTAAATGATGAATAATGCATCATAATACACAACTACATACATAAGGTACAGACTGTAGTCCATCTGTTTCTCTGCATGCTTTGTTACCCTGTTCTTCAGTGGTCAGGACCCCCATGGACCCTCACAGAGCAGGTACTATTTGGGTGGTGGATCATTCTCAGCACTGCAGTAACACTGACGTGGTGGTGGTGTGTCAATGTGTGTTGCACTGGTACGGGTGGATCAGTTTTTAAACACTGTGTCCACTCACTGTCCACTCTATTAGACACTCCTACCTTGTCAGTCCACCATGTAGACGTAAAGTCAGAGACGATAGCTCATCTGCTGCTGCACAGTTTGTTTTGGTCATACTCTAGTCCTTCATCAGTGGTCACAGGACGCTGCCCACAGGACGCTGTTGGCTGGATATTTTTGGTTCTCAGTCCAGCAGCGACACTGGAAGTTTAAGAACTCTGCTGTTCCTGAAGAAATGATTCATCTTGTGAGCCTTTTCTAGTCCTGTATAGGCCTATTTCAACACACCTTTCATGACTTGCTAATAGGATCATGAATATGCAATATTCATATTATATATATATATATATGTGTGTATATATATATATATATATATATATATATATATATATATATATATATGAATATTGCATATATTATGTATATTATATTGCATATAATAAAGCTATCTGTGTGATTTTTGTAGCCAGGGTTTTAGTGAGCTGGTTTTCTTGCTACAAATCCACACAAAAGCGTTCACTGTTTTCCATGGGACTCAACAGGGATGCGCATGCGCAGTATCTCTCTTTCGCTGAGGTCGCATGGAAAGTTCGATTCAGTTTACAGAACCGAGTCTTTCCAACTGTACGTTTCGGTGAGTCGAACCTCCGATTGAACGATTCATTTTTACTCAGTGATGGGTTTACACAACGATTAGTGTCAAATTTATTCGCCTCCGCAAATTCATCAGCTTTATTCTCACCCCCACAATGACTGGAGGAGTCAACTTTATTCCCAGCTTCTCAGTGATTTGCTGAGTCGGCTCTTCTCTCCTCAATAAACTGGAAGCAAGCCACAGAGAGAAGTTTTGTTACAGTGCTGTGTTTTATGTTAGACTATTTCAGGATTTTTAAAATATTTTTTCAGCCTATAGCGTCCAGTGAACCTCAGAACATGATTTAGACTCATTTGGACTAATGAGCCGGTTCGCTCGGTTTATTGAAAGGAATCGGTTGAGTCGATTCGTTCTGGAGTGGGCTGCTCTGAGCTAGCAGGTCTGTACTGCTCACGGCTTTTTTGTTTTTCTGTTTATTTCACTAGTCAGTCACAATTCATTTCCAAAGTCCATTTTAACTATGGCAGATCCAAGAATACGACAGATAAAGATCAAGACTGGGGTTGTAAAACGGTAAGTGGACGAATGACCAGCGTTCTTTCAAACCTTCGTGTGGGTTAGCGTATGTGCTAGTTTTCCCACGCAAGGCCGCGGCTACACCGCGCTGTGAAGGGGCTCTCTTACCGCGAATAGGCGTGCTCTGACGGCAGCGCTCAAAATCTAGTCCGGTATAGCGGAGCATAGCATAGATTGAGGGCTAGAAGCGCGAAACCAGCCGTGCTTCTCTTTTATACCAGGCTGTCGGAGGATTAACGATTAATTTACAATGTACGGTATCAGCAACCGGACAAATAAACGTAACCTCCGTTAAAATGCTGCAGGTTAGCAGTTCGGTTAACGGTAAAAGCCAAGCTACTGTTTTGTAGCATTTCTTACCACAAGGCTTATCTTACAGACAAAGGGGAATTCCACCGATTTTCCAAAATTCCTGCGCAATTCAGTTTTTGAAATGTAACGGTTAAACAGTCATTCAGATTGGTTTGTGTGAAATGGTTCGTTGTAGAAAAGCTTCCAGACTCGGATTTTTTTCAGTGGTGGTGATAGGAACCAGGGGTCGCCATGACTACAGCACAAATATAGACATTTTATTTACTATCCAGAACCACCAGTGAACCTACACGAGTCTTCTGAGTTTATATGAAATGTTGATGATGGGAAAATCCGATAATATATTTTCATTGGGTGCCTCACAACACCCTGCATGCAACTCCCTCCACCATGAATACGTTTTAGACCAAAACTTTGTCACAAAAACTCCTGTAAAACAATATGTCAGTCATCAGGCAGTGAATTCATAACCATTTCATGTAGTAACTTTCTGTGAGGGAGCTTTTATAGGTGGACGTCTGGTTCCTATCACCACCACTGTGAACAATTCTGACCCGGTAAGTTTCTCTAGAACAGAGCGTTTTGCATCAAATCATTCTGAACCACTCTGTTTACATCTTAACCATGAAATTATGTGGAAAGTTTGAAAAATTTGGTGGAGTTTCCTTTAAATTTGTTCCATTTGTGTGGTGCAATGGCTGTTATCTGTCTTATGTCAAGCAAAAACAGATTAAGGAATCAATGGGCCTGTAAAAATAACAGCAGTAATAGATTATGGGCACTACGGATTTGATTAATTACTTGCATTGTTATCTAGCACCTGCTGTCTAATTAATCAGTATCACATGCAACGCCAAATCAGGAGAAGTGTAAAGTAAGTCACATTATGTGGTCAGTTAGGCGAAGTCTTAATGTCACCCAAATAAATTAGAAAAAAAAAACTTGTACCTTAACTGAAACGTCATCGTGTTTATTAGAGAAGTCTTCTTTTACAGCCTAAGTTGTAACATGATTTTCTAATGTCACACAGTAAGTCTCAAAATATGACCTATTGTGCTAGATGAACAGCTAATTGACTGAAGTTAGTTAGGTTTTACTGATTTAACTGTTATAGTATATTGCACTCATTTACACTGACAAGTACTTATTTCTAAGTAGGGTACTTTTGGACTTGGTATTGGCAAGTGCTAAAATATGTAAATGTACTCAACCTGGAAAAATGGTTTTGATGTATCCTGAGGAATTACTCAGGTTTGCTGAGTCATGGTCATCTTTTATGATCTCATCGCTAACAGCATGTGAGGGTAACGTAAATTGTTAATGGTAAACTAGAATGTTTTCCTGCAGATGTAAAAGGCTCTTATGCCACTGTATTGATTGTAAGTGTTGGATCAATCCACTGACGTCCTCTGTTTTGATAGTAGGGCTAAATCCAGGTATGCACTGTCATGCATGATGTTGATGATGATGGTAGGAGGGAGTAAGTTAGTATGGATCACCTGAGCTCTCCCTGCCCTTCTCAGTAGTACAGTAAAGAGAGGCAGGTTTGGAGCCTTGGTGAATTCCTCTGTAGATGTGATGGTTGTTCTGTCAGTGTCATCATCAGAATAGGCTGATGGCTGGTGGCGTTATCATAAGTAGCCTATTACATAGCAAGCTATGGTCCACGCCCTTGCAATCCCACAAAGCTCTTCCTCAATATGTTTTATAGCCTTTGACTGTTCAACAAAGCAGATGGACTTTAAACCTGCTTTCTAGCCAGCTGTTTTATGGGCTGTGCTGCGATGCCTGGATTAAAGGCATATGCCAGTACTTTTCACCCTGGTCTCTTTCTGCCAATCCAGTAGCGCACGATCAGTTAACGAAGGCAATCATTTTAACACCTTTTCCTCAAACTTATTAAAAGCAGAGAAAATCCATTGACTCAGTACGTACTTCTCTGTGCTTACTTTATTCACCCGTCACAATCGTGACATTCTAGCCGACAATTAATTGCCATATAAATAATTACAGTAAACACTGTAATAGACCAATTGTCCAATACATAGTAGCTCCTAACTGATGACAAACACGCATTCAGTGCTATTCACAATCAATAAATAAACATTACTCACCTCTGCCTGCTGAATGTGTTATGAACAAAAATCAAAAAAACACTCGTTACTCATCGCCGCCCTCTGAAGGCCGTCGCACCACGGTCGCGTCGCGTCACAGTATCCAAAAATTCAAAACCATTGTTTTTAATGGAAATACGTGCTGATACCCTGCGTCGACATGAGCTGGCGCTCTGTGACTCTGTGTTCAGTTTCTCAGCGTGCCATGCAGCATTTTTCCATTCCTACTTTAAATTAAAGCTATATGGAGACCACAGAAAGCCACAGTTGATCACATGTGGCTTAAAATTTACACAGAGAAAGGCAGCCTCTTAGGTAAACGTTCATCCTAGCCTTTTTTAGTTTGTATCTTTCAGCTCACAAACAGCCAATTTGTAAAGAAGTAGTAAACTGATAGCAAGTGAGATCAGTTATGCTGAATGCTTTATTTTATTCAGTTTATATGAGTACGAATATAAAAATAAACTGGAATCTGGTGTTTATCGGCTCTGCCTGCCTACGCTGCACAGCACGACGTGGCGCGTCTGGTGTGCGGTGGCCTTAAAGGTGTTTTCAGCAGACATCCGATAAGTGAACATTACTCTCCTCCGTCCTCTAAAGGTCAGATAAACAAACATTACTCACTGCTGCTTTAGGCATGTTATTTTAGTAGTTGTATGAAATAAAAAAGGACCATTAAATGGTTAATTGCAATTGTTTATAAAGGAAATTGTAAGCTAAAATTTCACGATTGTGACAGCTCTCTGTGAAGCCCATGACATGTCTTACTAAATGTGTTGTCTGATTTATATTATTCACCTGTTTTACCTAAACCCAACTGGTGAACACACACCCAGTTCTCATTCTGTTTGCTGCAACTTTAACATAGTATTGTGGAAGTTTTTGGAAATAATTGCAGTCAGCTTAAATAATTGTGATCAGGCGATTATGTAGTAATCGTGACAGGCTTATTCCACTTGAAACAAGCTCACTGTCCCCTAAAGGGGACGGCTGATTCTGTAACCCTGGCTCAGTTTGTACAGACAATATAAAGGCCTAGAAATTGAAGCTACCTCTGACTGCCTTAAACACCCTATCATTGTTCCAGTTCCAATTTGATTACAGAGCAAACAGGCCAAAAAAGCAAAACCATAAACGCAGCCCATCGTTTTCTGGAGATGCACCTTGACAGTAGAAGCCCGCACTATGTTCTCTGGGCTACGACTGATCCAAATGTCACAGAATGAAGGTTAACAAATGGATCTATCACAGGTTTCTCAAACTCCGGGCATGCAGAGATACAGCCCAATTTGGTTTGTTTGCTCTGCTCCAGCACACCTGATCCAGCTTATCAGCTGATTATCAAGTTTAGGTGCATTCACACGTAAGTTAGTGTGTAGAAGAGCAGTGAAACCTCTCACCTCACTAAGCTCTGCAAACAATATTGAATTTCTGCGAACTTTAGTAAACAGCTCTTTGTCTCAGCACGTTAGAACGTAGTATATACGTTACTAGAATTCATTAACGTTAAGAATTGTGAGCATTTTATCTTATTATATAATCATAATGAAACCCATTACCCATTGATAATTGCATCTTTGCTGTTCCAGAGTTGTGTTATTCTAGATAGATTCCATGATCGCAACACATAATGGGGAATTACATGGATTTTGTTTCTGATCGTCAATATTCTTAATCCTGCTTTACACTGTGCGATTACAGCGGTCTTACACGTTTACCACATGTCACACTGCATGAGAGGCAGCAAATAAAATTTAGGCCAAACTCTGTCAGACTGTGCAGTTATGCTTCATATCAGATTAGCCGATAAAGATTTTCTGGTGATAGATTTACGATGCAAGAAAGCTAATGTTCTGCAAGCGCTTTCTCTTTTTTTTGCTGAAAAAATAATGGGGTGGAAAAAAAAACCCCTCAGTGAAATAGTGCCAATGATTTGTCTGAAAAACAAGAATTAAATGGCAGTAAGAAGGAGAGGCTGGAGCTGTTTTTGGCTGGGGAAAAAGGCGACATGTTCATTCTCTAAAGTGAACCTGAGGTCAGTAGGCTAGTTTTTCTGTCTACTATGCAGTAGCTATCTCTGCTATTTCACTGCAGGTCCCTCTACATGTGAACTGAGGGCAGAGCCAGATTCATAACAATTCTTTAAAGCTTCAGATTCTTAAAGCTCCTGTCAGCATGGTTTGAAACGTTTACATTTTAGTTTTAATAGTAAATATGCCACAGAAAAAGCTTAACCAGCATTATATTCAAGAAATATGTATGTAAATCTCAATCTCAAAAAACTCAGAGCTGCTGCTGCTCAGAACTGTGGGTGTGTCAGTGTAAAATGATTGACAGTAGCGCCTCACGGGCAAGGCAAACAACCCGCAACACCGCCATCAGGGTGGCTCAGCCCACCCTGCGGAAAAATAGACCACTTCGCTTTTCTTGAGTGCTTTCTGAACAGTGAGGAAAAAGTGCGAAATGGAGAACCTACTGTCTGATGGTCATTTTAGAGATCTAATTACATATTATAGATAATTTTGGAGAGCTCAGCCTTTTATCCTAGGACAGTAGATCAGAGATATGTCT